AATCGTATTTCTTATATTCCTCTTTGTGTTAACACGAATTAAATATCGAATTCAATTCAAAAACAACCAAAAAGCTTAAGTTTTAAATTACCTTTGCAATATTTTAGCGGTGGCTTTGATTTAGATGTCTTATTTATAACTCAAAACGGTCTTCTTTTGAAACTAAGGCGCACTCGTGGCGGATCTTCCGGGCTAAAAGAACCTTTCAAAAATAAACTTCAAAGTTGTTTTTAAGATCATTATTTTCTGTTAAGGACTGGAGTCAAGCTGRCTTGATTGAAGATTATCCTTGAAGTACGAGGCGTAGAAATATCGAAGAGGATATGTGATTCTTGAGGGTAGTGTACAAGTATTGCAGTTGATTTTTTAGAGCTTTCTTCAGCAGGTGGCCAAAAATTATTTTATTTATTTTATTATTTCGTGAACAATATAATCGTCATTAACGATTCTCAAACTAAAAATACAGATGTTGTATGTTGTATAAGTTGTTGCTTTCAAAAAACTGTACTGATCGCCCGTGGAGTGAACCATTAAACATATACTTTGTTCCAAGCATAAAACATTAGTGCWAGAAACACGAACGAGCTTGATCACATGGCCAAAGAAAAACTCTTTTACATAACACACACTCAGACAGAGCGCACATTTTATAAAAAAAATTACAAAGAAAGAAAGAAAATATGATTTTTACCGAAAAAATACTACACCAGAGAGTATACGTAAAACAATTGAACATTGAAAATACTTTAACCACCTAATGAGCATGTATATTGTTGCATCTACAAATAAGAAAAATTTCAATCCCACATGGAAGAGAAATAWCAGTGGTGTAGCGAACACAACAATTCTCCATTTCAACGGTGTTTAATGTGAAAGAATAAAGAGATTGCTTTRCTAAGTTCCAGCGATTCTCAATATTATGACGGCAGTAACAGCAGCAACGACGAACAACAAAACAAACACAAAACAAACCAAAAAAAATCCACACTGTAGCGAGAACCATGATAGAAATGAAATTGTTTGTGTCTGGCTTAGATCTTAGATATATAATAAAAAAAAATTATCGCAGATGTTTCGCGGGTTTCTATCGTAAACCTCATTACTGCTAAATGTTTACAAAAGAGACTGTTTTTACTGACCCGMGCTTAGGTCTGATTAACATAACTGCAAAGATASATAAAAGATAAATTATACAAATTTCGCAATGCACTATGGGAAGGAAGACAGATGCGATCAAGAGAGAGGACTGGGCACAAGTCACAACGCAGTCCATCCACGTAGAAAGCATGTGATTWTAGGTGTTTGCAAATATGCAAATCACGAATTCCAATGATAAATTAGTATCTTACTATATGTGAGATGTCTGTTAGCAAYCATATTAACGACAATTCATCATGAAAAAACCCTTATCGTATATAATATCAAAAAAATCTTAACGTAAGCACCTATTATTGCAGTGAGCTGGTAAGAAATACCTCTTAGCCAATCAGATAACAAACTTCAGGACCTTTTGGCGCCGAAACYGTCAAGCGCGCTAGTCACTTTGGCACCGAAACTGTAATACTTGTAACCTGTCCTCGTTGCTCAACAGAATTGACGAGTTCCGCCCTTTAATTAGAAGTCAAAATAGTAATTAGCACCAGAGGGCGATCCTGGATTTTTTAAAAGGGGTGCCATTTTCGTTTTCACGACTTTCCATACTCAGGTTCACTGACCACGAACAAAGCATTGAACCGAGCCGTCAAGGAACATTGATCACAGATCTTTTCTTTTATGCTCACTTTATACCTTAACGTCTCGGTTCAATGTTTGTGGTCACTGAATCTGAGTATGGAAAGTCGTGAATTCATAGAGCTCGCGTTTTTGTGAATCATAATCGGCATGGGCTTCCTGTGCCTACTAGTGACAAGACACTTGTAGGCACAGGAAGCCCATAATGATTCACAAAAACTCTATAAAAACTCATTGTTAGAGKATGCCTGGGGACKAGAGTAAACATCATTTAGTTCYCTTTTAGTCGTCARTTAGTAGGGTCACGTGATCTCGTTACAATTGAAAATTGATGCATCTTTTTTAAAGAGTTTTCGAGTGTCTGAACCAATCTTCCTCCAATTCAGATTATGCTCAGTCCATTTTTTGTATACTCTCCCTGATTCC